GTTGACAAAGGCCAGCATCTAGGGAGGTGAAGCCACAGAGGGCCAGGGAGACAAGGTCTGATGTTCCAGGTGGGAGGATGGGAAACAGGATCATCACCACTTCAGGAGCTTCATTCTTCTTTAGCCAACATATGAGAGGCTGTTCTCTACAGGCAAGGTGCTGGGCTAAATAAAGAAAGGCCAAAGAGCTGCCTTCAAAGGTAAGGATGCCTGAAGTAGAGGGAGCACATGCTTCTGCACATAAAGAGCTCAATGAAGACATATAGCTCATGTGGACCTTTATCATGTGGCCTGTATGTAGCATGCACCAAGGACCACTGGCTCTAAGTCAGCAGGTTCCAAGGGAGGAAAACAGTGAATGCAGACTGGCTGGGGAGTTCCAGAGCCAGGGCACTGCAGGCAGGCAAGGCAAAGGCAAGGGTCCGGTGTGTAAAGGTCTCTGTGCTGCTGCCTTTTCCCTGCCTGGTTCTAGGTGGGGGTCCTGCCCCCCAATTAAATGCAGATGTGCATGGATGGACCAAATGGGCCAGAAACTACTCATCTAAATGAGTTAGCACCCCTGGGCTGATAAGAAGGGGAAGGTATTCCTTGAGTGTCTGCTCTGTGCCAGCTACTGGGTGTGGTGTTTTCACATGCATGATCCTAATTATGTCTCAGAAGTTAGCACAGTGGGTATGAATCTACAGTCTACTGCTAAACAATGGGGCATACTTACCTAAACTGCACTCTGCCCTCAGGGAGGTACTTGGACTCTTATTGATAAGAGAGTTTGGCTAAGGTGGTTTCAAAATGTGAGAAAATGCTCATGCTATAATATTAATTAAAAAAAAAAGATTTAAAGTTATATATAGCATAGATAGAATTAAAACTACTTATTGCAAAGTGAAATTTGATATGAAATGTAATATTATAAGAGGCAGTATGTTATGTGTATTCATATTAAAGGGGTGAGTAGGAAAACATTCTATGGTGGGAAGTTCACCGCAAGTTTAATATTGCTTTTCCCTCAGTAGTTTTGACTCATTATGCTCATCTTTATGCCCTCCCCTTACTATAACTCATTTACTTGTTTATTTCATGAACAAGAGAGAGAGAGAAAGAGAGAGAGAGAGAGAGAGAGAGAGAGAGAAACAGGCACCCTCAACAGATTCTGCATAGTTCATGTTTCCCTCTCTGTTCATAGAAAGTCCCATTCCCCATCCCTTGACCTCATAAGTGGCCTGTCTGCTTCCCACTCCATGCTAATCTTGGGCAATCCCATTGACATCTTTGATCTTGATGACTATGAACAGCTGTCACTCTCAATTCTTGTGTTAATTTCACTTCTGTAGCTCCATCTAAGACCTTATACTTGAACTCCAGACTGGCATTTCCAACTGTGACATAGAGAGATCTTTCCAGGTGTCCCTTGGAGCCTTCAAAGTCAGTCATTATCTTTGCCAACCTCTCTTTCTGTTGCCATCCCCGAAAAGCCCCTCATCTCTAGACAGGGTTGCTCAGTTGTACAGACTCCCAAGTTTCACAGAAGTTTGGAAATCACTCTTACACCCTCCTCTTTCTCACCCCACACTGAGTCAGGTGTCAAATTGCCAATTCCTCTGCCTGCATCCACCAGTCTCCCGCAGTGGCGGCTTGCTTTCATGGCTTTCATCCAGGGCCTCATCATCTCACAGTTGGCAAATTTTCAGTAGGGAGGGTCCCATTGGTTCAGCCTTTGTTTTGGATAGATATTCTGGCAGTGTGGGAGGGTGGGTGGGGCAGGGAGCTGCTGAGGTGACGTCCAGGTCCACAACCTCCCTCCTGTTCCCCTGGAGTTTATTCTAATTCTGCAGGCTCAGAAGAAAGCATTTTCATCTCTCTCTCTCTCTCTCTCTCTCTCTCTTTCTCTCACTCTCTCTTTTGAATTCTTTCAGTTTTATTTAGAGAAACAAAATAACTTAAAAAAAACTTTTACAGTTTGCAAAATCTTATTCCATTGATCTCTCTCTAACATATCATATTATTTTTTCTTGAAAAGTAATAAACGATTCAGAGCTTATTAGCATATGTAGATAATTCACTTCTTTTCTCCTGCTGCGGATCTTAAGTGATATTCTGGCTCACCTTAGCTGGAAATTCCTGCTAGTTTTGCCTGAATAATATAGACAGACTTAAGGTTGCTTTTATTAGTTAGGAGAGCTTAAGACTAGATTACATATAAAATCTTTTATAAAGTAAATTTCTCACTGACTTTTACAGACAGATAAAGGCAGGAATTTATAGGGCTTTAGCCACTGCCTGGCCAGCGCTGACCCCCCTGGTGATGCTGATGAGTAAGAAGATGTACCCATTAGCAGCGCATATCTCTCTGGCATAGAGCATTGACTCAAAGACGGACAAATACCTGGTTTCTGATCTTCAGAGAAAACACAAGAACACAGTCTTTTTTTTTTTCCTTCTTTTCTACTATCTATCTGTCTTCTTCGCACCTTCTCTGCCTTTGTTCTTTTAACCATCTTCACAGTATACATACAACTTTCATAGGACTGGTTTATGGTGGGATTTCTCTTAAATACCCATTAAAAAGAGGATATATTTGAAGAGGGTTTTTCCTACCTGTGGGGCTGAAGAGTTGTTTCTGAGTTGAGTGGAAGGCGAGGGGCAAACTCTGAGGGTGAATCTGACTGAAACAGTAACCAGAAGTAGAAATATTAGCCCATGTCCTGGTTCCACCACCATAGAAATTAATTGGTGGAAATTCCACTGTGTCTGTGTCATCCAGGACTGCTCTTCCCCCTCCCTGGAATTTAGTGCATAGCTTGGTGCAGAAAAAGAATTTAAAGCATGATAATGTTAATACAGTAAACCTGAGGCAGGACATAGCAAATGAGTGTGGGCAACTTTGAGGTTTTTTGGTGCAAGATTACTGGTGTTTTCCAAGTCTAGGTCAGAGTCAAGCAATTGTCCAAGGCAACAGGAGGGCATTAGAAAGCCTACAGAGGGAATACTACTGGTTGGCAAAAGCTGACTTTTAGCAGAACCAGTGTAAAAACAGTGCTGTGAGGGGAACCAGCAGTTAGCGTAATGGCTATGTCGCTGGGCTCCCACGTAGTCGACCGCGGTTCGTGTCCCCGACCCGGTGGCTTAAAACTCACGCCGGGCGCGTGTGCGTGCGTGCCCAAGATCCCGAGAGGAGAATGGAGGAGAAGGGATTGTGGCATGACCATCCCCCCTGGGGGGTGATTTCTCGCTTTCTGTCTCTATGTCTCTCTCTGTCTGTCTGGCGAGCGCACGCGCCCTACAGTGAAAATCTCTCAAAAAAAAAAAAAACAGTGCTGTGAGGGAATAGGGGTTAGGCTTTTCCTACAGGGATTGCTGAAGTACTCACAGATTGTGGCTGAACTCCACCTTCCCAAGAGTATGGAGTCCAAACCTGTCAAAATCCCTTTTTGCTGAGTCGCATGTGATCCTGGCATTGCCACTGGTGGTCTTTTGTCCCTCGCTGCCAGACAATGGTCCTATTCAACAGGACCATGTTAGATTCCACATTAGCCTGTTTAAAGATGCCTGCCTCAATACCTTAGCCTGGCTGTAATGATTAGGATCAACACATTTATAACACATGTATAACATGAATTCAAGGTTTAGGTGATGAAGAGCAGAAGAGTAACAGCCTTCAAATCTGCACAGCTTTCTAACTGTACATATGAAAAAAAGAAAGAAAGAAAGCAAGAAAGAAAGAAAGAAAGAAAGAAAGAAAGAAAGAAAGAAAGAAAAGAAAAAACCTTGCCAGTGCTTTTGCATCAAAGAGAGATGCAACTTGCTAATTGAAAACTGGTTTGCATGGTGGAAAATATGGAGATACCAGCTATGTAAATTAGCGTATTCTCAGATCTAAAGGAAATCATGCCAGACCAGGAGGAAATTAAGCAAATTACAAGAATGAGGAAACAACTCTAGAAGAAAATTGAAAGCACTTGGGTGCTTTAGTTTCTCTGGGGGGGGGGGGGGTGTTTTTTGTTCCGCGGGGGGGGGGGGGGATGATTGCTAACAAGCAGAGAGGTTTGGAGAGCCCCAGGTGTGTCTGTGCCTTTGGTGGGTGGGTGCATGCTCTCCCAGCCCGGTCATGGTGGGCTTCTCAGGCCGGGTCTTAAGTGCCTGGATCATAATACTAGACTCCAAGAAGTCCTTCTGCATATTTCTAAGAAGCACTGGTCTTATACTGGCCTTAAATGTGGTTGGGTTCCTCCAGTTTAATGACCTAAAGAGTTCATTAGCACATGCAAGTCTCTACTTTTAGCAGGAATTGGGCTGGGTTCCGTGGGCAGGAGATCAGAAGGAGACTGGGCATCTTAAGGACTAGAGAGCTGCATGAGGGAGGACAGCCCAAGAGGCTGGGACGAGCGCCGCCTGGCGGTGACTACATGTGACCAGCGCAGAGCCAGGCTTGGTTATGCAGGAACCCTGTAAAGGAGGGTTTTAGGGAGAAGGATCTGTCCTTGGTCCCAGGGTGCTCAGAGTGCAGCGTTAGTCCGCGTGTGATGTGGGATAGAGCGTAGTTCCGTGCCTAGGGGGATACAGAACGAGTTCACAGAAAGTGAGCCCACTAGACAATGGGGACATCTTGTGCAAAGGCCCTGAGGCTACCTGCCTGGTGCGTTGTAGCTGGCGATGGGGCTGCCCACAGGGGAGGGCTCAGAGGTCTAAAGCATCTGGGACGCAAGACTTTAGGACAGAACCAAAGGCTCCATTTTTGGACCATAGGGATCGATCAAGGTTTAGGAAAATGTGTGGCAGGTTTGTCCGAGGGAGAAATCTATCGGTACCCAGTAGCGTCCAGGTGCCTGTCTGCCTGCAGTCCAATATCTTCTCCTGACCCTGAGCTTTGGTCTCCGACTAAGCCAATGGCAAACAGTCCATTCAATATCCCAGCCAGTGCCCTAGCCCCGCCCGAGTGGCAGGACTTGCCTGGCTAGGGTGCCGCCACCTCTGCTGGGCTTACCATTGCTTGCGAAGCCCAGATGCCAGCCGCCTCCTCGTCAGTACGCACCGTCCTAGGGAGCCAGAGGCAACTAGAGGAGGTGCCAGAGCCAAAGGGTGGGGGAACCGGAGCAGGGGAACCTGGCCAGGCGCGCCCTCTGCCTTCGCCTACCCGCGTCCTCAGCGCCAGGGGCCTTAGCGCGCCCCCGCCAGCCTCTCGCTCTGGTGTCCAGCGGCGCAGGAAGGCGGGGATAGGGTCTGAGTTAGGGCGGGGGGACAAGGGCAGGCAAGGGCCGGATCGGGGAAGTGCTGACGAGTGGGGTACCGGGTCCAGAGGCTCTGGCGGGCGGGAACTGGGCCAGGGAAGGGTACGAGAGGCAGCGCCCGCGCCGGCGACCACGCTCCGCTGGGAGGGAGGCGGGCAGAAGGAGGGGCTCCCGGGGGC